ATCTAGATCGAGTCACTATTCAAATCTAATTTCTTAATGATATATCCACCAATTTAAATATTTTTCTTTAATAAACTCCACGTGTTTCTGTGGGCATTTTGTATTTATGCATCACCTGAAAAAATTCTGGGGAGAGGATTTTTTTCATTAAAAGCAAACTATTTAAAAAAAAAATTAAAAATTATCATTTATTTTAAACTGATAAAATGTCTAAAATATTATTGACTGTGTGATGTCTGGCATTGAACCTCAACTGAAAGATGTTTAACTTAATTCACTTCAAATTAGCCTTATCTTACAAGAGACTGCATGACCCGAAAGCTGAGGCCTATTTGCAATTCGACAGTAGAAACTTATCTACAAATTGGGTATATTTTATATGATTAGGAATAGATTGTAATTATTAGATTGTGTAATTAGATAGATTGTGATTAGATAGATTGTGATTATTAGATTGAGTTATTAGATTGTGATTATTAGATTGTGTTATTAGATTGTGCAATTAGATAGATTGTGATTAGATATATTGTGATTATTAGATTGTGTTATTAGATTGTGTGATTAGATTGTGTGATTAGAAAGATTGTGTGATTAGATAGATTGTGATTAGAGAGATTGTGATTATCATTGTGATTAGAGTTGGCAGAGAGTCACACGCGAACCCACTTAGAATGAATTAAAATGTTATGTTTTTGTTCGAAATACATTTTTCATAAACAAAACAGTTCACTGAATGGTAATCTTTTGCAACGCTTTGGTTATCTCGTAGTCAACTATTATAAAATGTTTAATTGAGGAAGATATCATTGATACGAAGAAGGCATCATTTAATTGAAGACATAATTGTCTGAACTTCAGTTTGATTAGATGGCTTGTCAGGGAGGGAAAAATCATAATTGAACTGGTAAAAACTTTGGAATGTTTTTTAAAACCTTATTTTTGGCATCACCTTGACAAACTAATAAATGAAAAAATTTGGAAGACAACTGCTTTCCAATTTAGGAGATAATTGCAGAAATTATTGTTTAATTCAATAACTTCATTGTTTTATTCAGGATAAGAAAAATCAAAATTTAATAACTTTACCAGATTTTTTAAAGCATTATTTCTGACATCTATTTATCAAGTTAATGAATGAAAAGGTTTGAAGACAACTGTCTTCCAATTTAAGAGATATCAGCCGATACCATTGTTTCGTTCAATAACATTTCAGAGTAAGAAAAATCTTAATTTAATAACTTTACCAAATGTTTAAAGCATTATTTGTGGCATCCCCTTAACTAGTTAATGAATGAAAAATTTTGAAGACAACTGCCTTCCAATTTAAGATATTACTGCCGAAACCATTGAGTAATTCAATATTAATAAAATATATCGTCATGACTCATTGATTAATTCGATAACCTATCAGTGTAGGAAAAATCATAAGTTAATAACTTAGACAGAATTTTAAAGAATTACTTTTGGCATCTTCCTGATAAGTTAACGAAAGGAAAATATGGATTATGATTGTGTTCTAATTTAGAAGATAATTTTCACTACAATTGCTTGACTCAATAACTTATCAGGTTAAGAAAAATCTTAGTGTTATAACTTTCTTCCTCATCTTCTCCTTGGCACGACAGCCCAGGATGGGCCTTGGCTTTCTCAACAAGCCTATACCAAGACATTCTTCCCTTAGCCAAGGTTCTCCAGTTTATTATCTTTTAAACTTGTAGGTCCTTTTCGCGGCAGTCTAAAAATCTTAAGTTTGGTCGTCCTCTTTTTCTCGTACTTGTTGGCCTGGCACTGAAAACGTTTTTGGCTGTCCTGTTATCCTGCATTCTTATAATGTGGCCTGCCCATTTAATCCTTTAATAACAATAATAAATTTGCCAAGTTTTAAAACATTATTTCTGGAATAACTTTGGCAAGTTCTGAAAAAAAGAATAAAACAGTTTCTCTTTAGTTTAGAGGGGAGGTGACAAATGCCTCAGCCATTGTTTCATTTAATAACTTTGCACAGTGTGCAAAATCATAATTTATAATCTGACCAAAGTTGTCTACGTTTTGAATAGTTAAGCTATCTCTGAATTGGAAAAATATTTTTTGAGAAGCATTTGAGTTATGCCCTGTGAATCATATTTTCTTTTATTTATTGCAATATTAATATAAATTCATATAAAACTACTAAAATTACCAAAAATAAACGTTCTTTCATTTCTCATTTAATTTTATTTTATTGCAGATCTTCCTTATGTCTTCTTCCAAACAATTCACAGCTTTTAGGATACATTACGATTTTCACTTTACATTTCAAAAAAATGCAAGTTGCATTCTTTTCATAACAAATCAATTTTAAATCTCTTCACCAGAATCTAAGAAGGAATATCTATCAGAAATGAAGAAAAGAATATCTATCAGGAAAATAAATTGAGCTTTCTACCATAAACGTAAAATCCACACAGTCTTCTATCATAATCATACTTTCAAAATGTAGGCGAAAATTTTCTTGAACTCGATTGGATTGTACTTCCAATAGAATCGATTGGCAGGAGATCGAGAAACTTACACTGAGAAATGATGCACATTTTGAACAAATAGGTATTCCAGGTATCCATGGTAACATGCCGAATGTTACATATTTCTAAAGAACACCGATTCATTATCAATTTTCGTCACAGAAATCATTGTTCTCATTTAGTTTTATATTCTTTGATGAACGTACTTTCTTGTGTTTTTTTTTTCCTTTTTTTTTGTCTTCATTCTTTTCATCAGGTTGAGTAAGGTGAACTTTTGTTATCTGTGAGACAATTGTTTCTCTTTCATTTTCAGAGAAAGCCCAGCTTTCCTGAAGACAACACATATTTCTCATATCAAAAGCCATTTTTGGAGAGTTTAGTTGGAGATCTTTTGAAAACTTCGCAGTTTATTGCTTATTTTTCCTAACTGAGAAAAAGAATTCCTTGTTTTCCCAGCTATATCACATTTCACTTTCCATGTGCATTTCATAAAAGATGCTTTGTTATTATTACTGATAGTCAATTGTTTCAGTATAATTTTTTTTCCAATGTTATGAAAATAACTGTTGCAATTGTTTTATTCAATAATTAAGAAAACTTTTAATAAAAGAACAACCAACGAATTTTTGTATTGTGTTAGAAACTTTTTTAACATTAAAAATGTTACCCAGGAGTTAAACCAAACCACAATTACCAATGGCATTTCTACCAGTTCTGTTATTAACATTCTCAAACCCCTTGGAAGGGAAGTTTTTAGGATAGAAAAAAAAATCTTGTTTGATATTTTTTAGGCCAAAAAATAGCATGTTTATATTTTATTAATTGTTTAAATTTTCATTCTCTTTTCCTTAATGTCATTTTATTTTTACTTAATCCACAAACAGACATTTTCCCCCACGTTTTTTTCTTCCATCTGAAATAATAATCGAATTAATAAATCATAAAATCGAAACAGAAAGAAAGATTTGCTGTTTACGTCATTAACCAGCCACTGAGCAGCTACTTTTTAAAAAATATATATATTTCTTTTTAGCAAGTGAGTGTTTCTTATTAAAATAACATTCAGTTCACTTTTTGTTCCATCTTTTTTAAAGAAGTTACATTTTTATATCTTCAATAATATTTTCGCTCACTTGATATTTAATTTCAACTTCACAATATCTGTTTTTAATCTCTCCAACCACTTAATCACCATCTATTGCAATCCATTTATTTCATTTTCAGCTAATAATTTGATTTCATATTTTAAAAAAAATTTAATCCTCACTTGCGTCACTCTACTCCAGTGATTATAGCAACAACAAAAAAATATATGTTTCTTCAAAAATACTAGCACTCAAGATATTTAAAAAAAAGACTTTATAATGTTTTTGTACCTGAAAGTTCCTCAAATCTCTTCTGTACGATTCCCGCCTTTTTTTTTTGTTGTTGTTGAAGGAAATGGGTGTGATTTGAGGAGAAGAATTTTTTTTTTCTTAACCAGCAAGTAAGGTTTTGTTTCTGTTGTAATTTCTCACGCTAAATTGAATAAAATCAATCCTGAGATTGGTGGACTAACAGTTTAAATGCCACAACGTATAAAAAATATAAATTTTGGTTTTTACTTATTTCCGCATCTGATGTATCTAAATAAAAGAGACGTTGTTTCCAATGTATCTTTTCGCGCAAGTCAGAGAAGATTATATACGACTGTACATTAAAGATTCGATTATACGAATCAGAAGAACGATTAGTTCGAAAGTTTCAAGCACGTTCGCTTTAATGCATAAAAAGTACTATTTCTGATTTTTATGCATTTTCATTTCAGTATGAGGTTCTTATACATTTCTGTACCTTATAAGCATAAACAGTATGACACCAAAATATGAAACATCAGAATGATCAATGGTTTATATGTGTTTAAAGGCCTAATTTAAATTGTGGGAAAGCTCCACTTTTGTTCATTATAAATTGCAGAAGTCTAATAAGTGAATTTTTTCTTACCTTGCCAAATTTTCGGTACTATATGTTTAACAGCAGAAGCTTTAAATTGGAGAAGTTCCAACTTTTAAATAACAGGAGTAAAATAACTTGTGTTACAGATAAAAGTAAGTCTCGCTTCATTATTTTTATTAATGGAGTTGTTCAACTATTCAAGTAAGGCCTTCATTAAGTATTGCGTCGACTGTTGTTCGTTTATTTTTTAAACACTCTTCTACTTAGTTTATTTTTTTAATTAACAAAGGATTTAGTTTCGCCCATATTCTGGTTCTTCCCTTCAAATAAACGTCTCACGGGTTTTTATTTCCTTTTTACTTTATTAATATAAAATCATAACTGTTTTTTCTTGAATAAAAATGATGTTTAGAACAGTTGTTGATAATATTGGGAATTCAATTGCCGTATTTTAAGCAACTCTGTATTACAAATTTGGTAAATCTTTTTCACACATTAGTGACGTACCAAATTTTAGAAGGGCTATTGGCTCACCATCCTTTGTACTAAGGGGGGAAATAAATACAGTAGACACTGACACCAAAAGATGCGGGTTCATTTATTATTGTAAGACAATAGTAGGTCAACTTCAAACAAAGCTGGCAAACACAAAAGTGAGTGACAATGACAGGGAAGATTTACACATACACTTATAGCAGAACTCAAATTGAAAAAACCAACGTTATGAAGAATATGCCTAAACGTGAGTGACAACAAACAAAATTAACAAAACATCAGCACTATGACAAAAGATATGAGATTAACAAAATATCAGCACGATTACGAAAGACATGAGATTAACAAAACATCAGTTCTATGACAACAAAAAAAAACATGAGATTAACAAAACAACCAGAGTGACAGGGGTAATTTATACTCACAAATGCATTTGCTTAGAAATATCTTAACCAAAATTAATGCATTATTGCATTAATAAACTTCAGAATACTTATCAAAAAAATATGTATGTAAATGAGTTGAAATCTGAAGTTGCTGCAGATCTGATCCCTACGACATCTGGCAACAAGTAACAAAGTTACCTGAAAGGGTAAACGAAAGTAGTCTTCTGTGTAAACAAATTGTGATTCGGTGACTAAAATCAGTGGATTAGATGATTTTGATGATGACTATCCGTGAAACGTTACAAATTTTATTCTCATCATGCTCTTTCAGAAAATTAAAATAAATACAAAAAAAATATTGTAAGAAAAACTTAGAGCTGTGAACGCCTTAGCAGTCTGGGGTAGAGTGTTCATCAAGGAATACCACATGTTATAATATTATAGTAAATGCTACTGTTCATTTGTATTTTGTGCAATTAAATCCTAAAATACAAAATTTTATCTCTGATCATTCTGGGAAGTTTCCTAAAAGCATTACGGAAATCTTTTCTCAAAATACCGTAGATGAAGGGATTAACAGCAGAAGACACATAAACTAGTATTGTTGACATATAGTTTAGCCAAGGTGGCATATCTTTACCTGTTAATACCTTAGTTTCATTCGCAATACAATAAGGAGTGTAACAAAAGTAATACACACACACAACAACTATCATACTCTTCACAGTTTTGTTAGTGTGTGAGGCCTGACTTATAGCTATATTTTCTTCATTTCGTTTGCAGAAAATTCGTGGATTTACTTTAGCTGATTTTTTTGCCGCTATTATGATTTTAATGTAACAAATGGCAACTAAAATAGCTGGAAGCACATAACACATAGAAAACCCATAAGTATATAGATAGGCCACTCTAAAATCATTGATGTAATCTATTGCACAAGTACCTTCAGTGTACTTGTATAAAGACCAGCCGGGTACTCCACAAACTAAACCACTGATTCCAGTAACCAAGAAAAGGCAAATAAGGACATTTATCAAGACACTGACAGAAATCCAAGTGTCGTACTTTAGTGGAAATAAGACAGCTATTACTCTGTCTAAGCTGACAAGGGAAATGTTAAATGAAGATGAACATAAGAACATGCAGTTGAAGCACGTTGTCATTCTGCAGAAAACAGAGCCCAATGGCCAGTAATCAGCGGCTACCGCAATAGAGGAGGGGAATATTATGAACAAAGCAGTGAAGATATCAGTGACTGCCAAGTAAACGATTAGAATGTTTCCAGTTTGACTGCGTAGGTTTTGATCCCAAAAAGAAACAAGAGTAACTGCTCCATTGCCTATAACCGCAACCAATGCGATTATTGCTGATAAGATGCTTCCAAAGATGTTAAAATATAAACTTCGACGATAAGAGTTATCTTCACAGTGTAAGCACTCCTGGTAGATTTCCGTCGAATTTTGAAACATTTTTAAATCTGTCAAACAAAAGGAAATATTTTATTATACATAAGTACAAACTTGAATTAAAGAAACAGTTACTTCTGTTTACGAGCGAAGATGGAAAAAAAATTCAGTTGTTTATGAATTAAGATTAAAAAATTTTTTAAAGATCACAATTAATGCAAGGCGATTATTTCAGTACTGAAAGTAATCTCAGAAAGAAGGACAATCAGAGGGACAAAAGAAATTACAAATGAGTTACAGCGAGGAAAAAAGGAGAGAGCTTTAGGACAATTGCTGTAATTCGCTTATAATTTCTTATGATTCTCTGCTTGTCTTTCTTCCATTGTGTATTTTGAGGATTTGTATTTTGACATTAAGTTGTTTTCGTGACATTATTTATGGTCTTTTCTCGTTGTTTATCTTTATTCGTATTTACTGCGTGATTTCACTGTGAGACCACTAAGTTCCGCATCACTATCTGCGGTCAATAAGCGAGAGGGTGACCACTTTGATCAGTCAAAGAGACCGAGTTTGCGGGGTATCGATCTTCATTAAACTATTCTACGGTAAGTATACGACTTTGCGTGCAGGTTGTTGGGCAAATGGATAGAGCATTCGCCTTCCAATGAGTTGAACTGGATTAAAATCCCAGCGATGGCTGGTCGATACGAATCCGCATCCGGCTTGCATCAATTAAGTGCCAATGTGAAATATCCTCAGTGGTAGACAGATCATGGGTTAGAGTCCCTTTGCAGTCAGACTAACCGTGGGAGGCTCTCGTGGTCTTCCTCGCCATGTAACACAAATGCGGGTGTGTTCCATCAAAAATTGTCCTCCTAGAGGCAAATTTCTCCCAATACTTGATCCAGGAGCTTCCTTGTCTTCTGGATTGGGTTCAATGCTACGGAGTTGACCATCAGTAGTCGTATACTCAAAAATTGGGTTGGATCTTCTGCGACGGTTATAAAAATCTCATCAGAGGATCAAAATTGTGATGGCACGTCTTCGGTTCATACTCAGAAATTTTTTCCATACAATCTCCAATAGACTGTTGTGCAACTCTAGTGCGACATAAATAAAGTACTACTACTACAGAAGAAGAAAAAATGCTTACACATCGATGGAACGCACTATTTGAGATGAGTCAGTCGACTAAAATCTTGTTCATGCCTGAAAATCATCGTAAAATCCTTATGGTCATGTCTGGATGTATCGGAGCTGTATATATTTGAATGTGTGGGTATTTCACCGATAACAAATATGCAAAAATTCATTCAAAATGTATTTACGTCTGAAAATCTGCATTCATTTTCTAAAAATCTACAGTTTAAGAAGAGATTGCTTGATTATTATCACATTTTTTCATGTTAAGCAGGTGATATCTTTCATTTTAACATTAAGTAGGCGCTGTTTTGCCCCATGGAAGATTTAGACCACGCGAGATTCAAGCGAGATTTCGTTCACACGAAATTTCGGTTGCAAGAATTTGTCCGAGTAATCTAGTACAGATCTCAATTTTTGAATATGTTTTCTGTATACTGCATTTACATTAGGTAAAAAACAGATACCTGGCACTTCTTTCAGGCGGTGCGGCACAGCGTGTCCCATTTTTTAAAAAAAGAATGTCATGATTTTTGCTTGAATGAATAGGAATTAGTTTCTCATAACAATTCAGGATTTTAATAGGTTTGTATAACCATTTAAATGAGAATATACTCCTAAACAAAATTTGAAAATCTTTATTTGAGAATTTCTTTTTAATAAAGGCTGCAAGTCGTCACTCACAGTATCTTAAAAATTATTTCTAAAATCATGCACATGAAAAAAAAGCTTTCCCCCCAATCATAGGATGAAGATTTTAAACATTTATTTACCCTCCATACAGAAACAATTGCCTTCCTTAAGGTTTGTTGATTTTGAGTAATTGAATATCGAGTTCTCTGTTCTGGCACTTGAACTGTATATCTTACGGTAAAATCTAACATCATGATCTCTCATGGCAATGATAAGGCATCTCAGAACGTGATTTATTTATTATCAGTTATCAGTTAAAAAGAAATTTGTAATTTTTTTTTTTGCGATTTTACTGACAGTGCATATTGATCTGTTTAGTTATATGTACTAGTGTATCACTTATAAGTATATTGTCTCCATATTTATGACTATTCAATCGCCTGACATCTCAGTTTTCAATTCTTTGTTGCCATCTCGGAAAAGAATTTTCATCGGTTTGGTTAAAATGTCACAGCGAAGGACCGAAATCGGTGGTTGTTGACTTTCACCAGTGAATGTCGACAAACACCAAATACGTAGGTGAAAGATCGAATATTTCATTACATTCTTGTACATTCGGACCCTCACCGGTGTATGTCGACAATCACAGATATGCTTCGGTGAATGTCCGTAATATTTATTACATTCGATTTGATATGAATTTATTCGTGGATATAATTACATTTATTCGATATTTTAAACCTAACTGATGTTTTTTTAAGGTTAAGTGCCACTGCCCGGTATACATTTGCCCGGTATACCCTAGTTCCGCCTATCATATTCGAGCAAGTGTCACTATCACACCCTATTTTCATCAATTTCACTTCCGGAACGACTGGCTTGCCTAAACCTTTGATACACGGAAGTGGTGTAAGTGCTGTGTCTCTGATTTATTACCTACAAATAATTGTCTAATTAAACTTTTCCACTATATACTCCAAANTAACATGGTAAACAATAGTTTTGAAAATATGTTGAATGCAGTAGTCATGAAATTAAGAAAAATTGGTTAAATGTTTCGATTAAACTTCATTTTAATACTAAAAAACTAATATTTTCTATACATACAGAATTAAAGTATGTAGTCTTAAGTTTAATTTGCCCAAAGAAAGAAGTTTATATGTGAAAAATTATTCGAGTCATTACAAATGTACAAAAAAATTGGATTTCGGGTAGCTCCGCTCACATAAATGTCGGGTATCACCACCCAATTTTACTTCGTCGGTAAATGTACGGTTGCAAAGATTATTATTTTATTGCTTCAAATTTGAATGTTATATGCATTTTTAACAACAAACATTGTTGTTACTAAATGATTGTTATTAAATGATAGAATTCACTGAAAGTATATAAATATATAATAAATAAAATAATTTTGTGATAAAAATGACAAATGAGGTTTATCTATTGTCAATACATGGGTCATTTTTATTTACACCTGGAAAAACAGTCAAAAAACATAATTTTTGTAACTGGGCGGGGCTACCCGACACATTTTGAAAAGAGCTGAAAAACATGTTTTTTTAAATTTCTATTTTTTTAAGTTAAACTACTCGTTTTGGTTTATTCTTTCTGCATTATTTAAATAGATGATAAAACTATAGAAACATACAAAAATATTGATTATTACTCCTGGAAAGATGTTATACAGAAATATAAGCAATACTCCTTAAGTGGGCGGGGCTACCCGACTCTCCCCTAAGAACTAAAACTTTCTGAACAATTCCAAATCTTTTATTTTGGAGTTTTATCTCCATTATGCGTAAAAAGTGTTTCTTTAATTTTTTCTTTTTTATTTCTGTCTATTTTTATTCTGTAATTTACATTATTCTGTAATATTATAAATTATACAATAAACAGAGAAAAAATCTTCAACTTTTATAGTTAATATATGGTATTAATAGTGCTTTTCTGTATTTATTCTTTGATTGTTTACAATTCATTGGTACGCACGACATCCTTAAAAAAACTAACATTTAAACATTTCACAGAACTAAAATAAAATATATAATTAAACGACTATAGGGAACTTCATAAATTTTTTCTTGATTTTTTCCAAACGATAATTGACTGCTAATTAGCGATAAAATTGTGAAATTAAGTTTCATTCAATTTTAAAGTGTAATGTCTGCTTAAAAATATAAATTTATCGCAATAAAATCTGAAAATGTCATTAAAAGTTTTCCTTATTTAATAATAAGTGACTATGAACTAATGGTCCAACTTTTTATTCATTTACTTATAAAATATAAGACATACTAATGCCTATAAATTTTACATTATAGTAAAACCTTAAACTTATTTTAAAGTTTCTTTGAATGATAAATGGTATATGTGTGTTTTCCTCTTTAAAAAATTGTTTTACCTTCACTCATTCGTTTTTCAAATCGGTAATTTGTTTACTTTGAAAAGTAAAGCATTTTAAATTATTGTAAATGCAACCTTAAACTTATTTCAAAAGTCTTCTTTTCTCTTAGAGTGAGATAGTTACGACTGTTTTATCTTCAGTCAATCAAACGAACCAGTGATTTACTCAGATTAAAATGTAAAGCATATTCATCAATGTTGATTAAGTAGTGAAAAATAATGAAACTTTTTTTTGTCCAATGTAAAATCTTTGCTGAGTTTTAAACCAACTCTAAGCTGGTTTTAAATAAAATAATTTCCGCAATCAATGAAATGGAACGAGCTATTTATTTATTTATAGTTCAATTTTAAGTTCAAATTAGGAAACTGGGTTTAGCAATTATGATGTAGACAATAAGCTGCGCATTTATTATTTTTTTTAAAAGAAAAAATAAGGTTACCATCATTTTTTCTTTCAATTATGTCTTCAATGTCTTTTATGTATATTTTTCCTTAAAAATCAATACACGAACCAGAAAAAGTTATTAAAATATAAAAACCTATTTTTTTCAAACTTAAATATATGTATATCCTTTTCTTTTCAGTGAGGCGTAACATTGTATATTTTTTTTTTCAACTTATCATTATTTTACAAAAGTCCCATCAAATTCTGTGAGAAAGAAAAATAAATGCTCTTGAAAGACGTTAAAAACTAAACCAATTCAAAACACAAAAATAAACTATAATTTGAAATTCTTAGTTTAAGTCATAAATGTTCCTATTTCCGGTGATTGATTTTAAATTGTCGAAAAGTATCATTAAAAAATTGATAGGAAAAAAAAACTGTACTTTGCTTTTTTCTACCGATGAAGCAGGTGCATTTTTATTCTTTAATTAATTCGTGGTTGAAACT